ATTCCTCAAGGGAATTCGCAAGGGATATATCCCCTCCAAGGACTATATGGCTCCCGCGAAGAAGGCGTACGACCTCATGGTGGACAAGTTCGTGGAGAAGAATGCGAATGGCACACTGAATTGGCTTGGCACAGTGCAGGTCGGCAGTCTGGGCAGCAATGGCACCTTCGAGGTGAGTATGAGCCTATATCTGATCCAGAAAGTGATCTGACGATTGTTAGTATTATATCTCGGTTCCCGTGGTGCAGGATGATTACAAGGGCGCTGGACCTTTCATGTATGCCAGTTATGAGATTGAGGCTGCTTCCAAACAATAGATAGACGGGATGGCAGACCGTGGAAGACAAGGAAGCGGTCCAAAACTTGGCGGGATTTTCGGACTCCGGAGAATATTAATAGCCCACATGGCTGAGTCAAATTTGAATGTGACTGCGAGACATATTCGTATCCGCGGAGCTTTCGGACAAGCAAGATTCCCGTAGCAGCAGCTGTGAGCCTGGTGGATGATGGGGAACGTTACGTAGGCTATTTTTGCCGAGAGGACATGGCAAAAAATATATGGCCGTCTGTGCCAAGGAGCCTCGAATGTGAGTCCATCACAAACTAATACTGTAGCGTAGGACTAACTCTGGAAAAATGAACTCACCTGACCGGGGGAAATAGTGATGGTGGCGTCTAAGTGAGGCCAGGAAAGAACTAAGGGGTAGCATGGAGCAAAGTTCATATAGACCATGAATCCTTCAATCGAAGAGGAGGTGTCGGTGAAAACAGAATCAATCATTGTGCCTGCTCAACTGAATGGTGATAAAGGATGGATGATATTTTGTTGGTCTACCACCTAAGCCCCTAACCGACCAAAGGGAAGCCTTGTCTCAGCTTGGCGCGGTGTTTATGTTCACCCTAAATCGCAGCCTAGTCCGGTGGACCTGTCAATCGACTTTGCGTCTCTTTCCTTGGTATGGTCAGGGAATATTTTGGTAGGAATGACTAGGTTATAATCAAGAAAGCACTCATCCAGCAGACTACTCTTATCAGTCCACGAGTTCACTTTTTGACTACCAACTCTCTATCACAGTATCACTACTGAATTTATCTATCCATTCATCTCCATCATCAATTGACATTGATCAATCAAAACAAGAAAAAGTCATCAATATCATGCCACCTCTATCCAAGCTACGGGCCAGAGAAAGGCCTGCAACTGACTACGAACGATGGCTCAATTTCAATCCCGATCAAGATCCATCCTCTCCTCCAAAATACGGGCCCGATAGAAAGCATCGCTATGTCGATGATTCGTCCGTCAGATATGCTCCAAGCCGCCAGCTCATGTTGTAGGCAGCATCCTCCCATTGCCATTGTTTATGTCCATCTAACAACCGCAGCAATGATCAGCGCAATATGCCACCCGGACATACCCGTCATCATCGAAGAATTGCACATTCACAAGGTCTAGTTCGAGGCATCACGTTTTTCTGCGCCGTCTTGGTAGTCATACTGGTCATGCGGATGTTCGTGGTCTCGCTCATCCGCGCAGCCCAACGACGAAGAGGCATAGAGAGACAGATACAAGAGGCATCCCAGCGACAGCAAGACCCTACAACCTACGAGGATAACAACGAATTGGGCGAGTTGTGATCATTTCGTGTTGCAATGCACAATCCTACCTACGCCTACATGACATCCGATGAATGTGTGGCCACACAAAGGTGTCCTCGCCAGCCTCAGGACAGATAACTGAAGCATCGCATTACCTGACAGACACTCAAATCCCGAATCGCCGGGACAGTACCAAGCCCGTGTTTCAGACAATATGCGTGGCGTCGCGCCGGACTTGGCCAAAGTATAATCTCCAGGCAGCTGGATTCTTCTCAGCATGCGTGTCAACGGCGAGGACTGGATTACATCACAGCAAAGCGCTGTGGAACAATTGGATACAGTGCACTATTCTCCGGAAGGCTTGTTCCTAACCTTACTGAGGTCAAGCTCAGAATGAGCGATTCTTCGTGATTGGTGGTTGGTGGAGTTTGGACGATAGAATATAGTTGCCTAAAGACCTTGCTCCTGGCATGCACCCCACGCGCGGCACAACCACGTCGATCAATTTTGGAGCGAAGATACAAGGCAACAGGGCTCTGTACATTTTTGTCGATGACCCTGTATAGTAGAGATGCTGTGTGTAGTCTCTTGCTGTTACTGACCTAGGATTCTTTTCTCTGATACACTTTTTAGAGCAGATAATACTAAATCAAGAACAAGCTCCTTACAAACGGCGAGTAGTCTACCAAGAGGTCACACTGTGACTAGTATTTTTACCTTCAGGAAGCCAGAACCCACAAAATAGAGTCCTATCATTCCTATGAACGGCTGCATGACAGGCAAAGTGTATCATTGTTCTTTTACCATTTTGGGGCATTTCAGAGCACTCCGCTCAAGCTCTGACTCAATTTTGCATCCCCACAGGGTCCAACTGCAACCTCACAATCCCAGTCTAAATCCAATACAATTCAGGTAGCGAAGCAGACATGTCTCAACCCATCCACCTGAATGTATTTGCAAGTGGACCCTTGTCTCATGTAATTTTACATCATTACATGTGAATGATGTGGTAGCCTTAGCCCTTGGGGCTAGTTTAGACTGGAGCGATCTATGGTGGACCCTGAGTCCCTGTGCTAGACTGTTATTAGCAACGGGGATCACCGATAACAGACCAGTACCGAGTAGACTAGAAGAAGGCCAGGCACTAAGTAGATTAAATGTCTAAGCCTCATTATATGGCAATGTATTAGCAAATAGTTAATGTAACATGTCAGGGGTGATCTGAGACTGGTTCAATGTGTGTAGCGAATGATTTAGTGGAGTAATGGTCTCAGAAAGAATTTTCACTTAGGTGCTGAGTTTGCTGTGATGCAATGACCTAGGGGCCCTGTTGTTACTATAGGTTGCTAATGAGAATTGAAGGTGACCAGTTGATGCGCCTATTATTGGGTAATATGAGGCTTTTTGAATGACCAAGTACGGTTTAACTGCATTAAGAAGATAGGGGCATCTGGGACTCTTCTAGTCGTGAGAAACTGATAGATTAGATGAGAATAATTCCCGTAGTTTTCATTATATATAAGTGAGCTTGCTATAACAGAATTGTCAATAGTAAAGTGTGTGCTCAAGCCTTGCTCAAGGACTATTCTCCTCTAGTCTTTATTAGTCAATCAGGCATTCAGTGGCCTCGATACAAACTATTCGAGACTCGGTGCTATCCTTAGAGGAAGTAGACCCACAAGAATGATTCAGGTTGTTGCTGTCATAGTGATACGGGTTCTGGCACTCTGCTTCGCACAATAATACACTCGGCTTGGTCTTCTGCGACAATGCGCAGGCCGGGCTCACTACATTGGGCCGCTTTCCTGCCAACTGTAGAGAAGCCGAGATACTTGTCGGTGATTTTGGCATTGGCTGGCCCCATGACCGTCCGGACGCGGTCAAACACACCGTCAGCCCTGATCTGGTTCTGGTAAGGGCTATATCATGTCGCTGTCCGTGTCCGTCCCGAGGGCCATTGGTGCTCACATCGACCGGTGCATCGTTGAGATCCGTGTCGGGGTTCTCACTTGTGTCGTCTGATAGGGACGAGGAGGGACCCTGGTTCTGGTGACTGGACCAACGGTCTCTTCAACCATCCGATTGTGATTGTACCTCAGGTGTTGCCCAGGTCTGAAATTGTAGTCCCTGATGTTGTAACTGATAGAAAAGGGACTTTATATATCATTCCTCGCCGTCGCTCTCTTCCCAGGGGACGAACTTCTCCTCCCGCAGCTCCAAGGTCATCTCTCCATTGTCATTGTTGAGGATCTTCAATGTCTTCCGCAGACGTCGTGTCCCTGATGGGTGGTTGACTACTCACAGCTGTGGACGGAGACAAATACCTCGGGCAACGACTACCTTCGTTGAAGCCGGTGGCTCGCACATGCGCCAACGCCGTTGATATTTCACTCTGGGGTCCTTGGAGTCATTCTCGCCTCTCGGATTCAATACGTTGATGACGAACCAGATTATGTGAGCAGGAGCCTTAGCTCGAGATCTTGCTAACGATGACACGAGGCATCGAGGAAGTCGCTGTAGGTTCGCTTCGCAGCCAGATGATACATCAAAACTCTAACTGTGGCATTGCGGCTATACACCTTTGGGATAGTACAAAGGATCGCCGAGGAAGACTTGAAACAATTGGGTAGGTCTTCATGAAGGCGTACAGGTCCAGACTTTAAAATTCTTGGACAGGTGCGATAGCTCGTTGATAGCCAAGAGACTCGCATTCTGGCGGATATAACAAAGTGTCTAGATAATGATGAATTGTGGTAAGACTGACAAAATGCGCTTGATTCATCGCTCTTTACAAACTGCGAGCGAGGAATGTTCGTGTCCGGCTGTTAATGCGCCACTGGTGTATGTATGACATGTCATACACTGATGGGACTTGGCTACATGTACTGTCACCAGTAACAAGTAGAATCACCAATGATGATTTATCCGCATCGAATGGCTGAACAGTATGCAAATGCAAGGCACACGGGTCTGCTGATGCATGTTGTATGCCCTAATTGCCCTTTGACAGGCCTTATTTTGACATGCACATCACGAAACAAACATATATATATATATAATCAAAAAGAGGGAAAAAGGAAAAAAATCTCTGCTCTTTTGGAAGAAATGCTCTGAAATGCATGCAAAATTTTGAGTCTGCAGGTATGCCCATCCAGAACTCCGACCAACTGTATGATAACCCAAGTACGAATCCCAACAGTCGACACCGAAGCAAAAATATCCAATTCGCATCTAATATATGCAACCGTCATATACAAGGGTCGAAATATAGCCACAGTTCCCAAGGAGTCTATAGATTCCATTCATTAATATGACAGCAGCGAAGGGTTAGAATGTCACATATCTGCCGATCGGGGAGCGGCGGTCTCTCCAGAGAAAACAATTGACTTTCGATCTCGTGATCAGATTGGAGATCTTTCACTAGCTCTGACGAGATAGGTTCTGTTACTCGATGCCCTTTCAAGTAGGTTAAGTAATTCTTGGTGGAGTTGCTGGGAATCGATTCGGTCGTTCGGCTCGATACGAACCATTTTCCGCATGATCAAACACAAGAGATCATAAAGCATATCAGAACATCGTTCATGTTCTGATAAACGGGTCACCCATGCCTTTACCGATGGCCGTACGTCTCTGAGATCAGCCGTGTAGAAGTAATCTTCGCTGAATTCATCCGTCTCACCACCTTCGGCACCGCGAAGCTCGGCAAACTCCACGATAGCATCGAACCCAAGTACTATCCAGGTAATGAACTCCAAATATAGACAGCCAAGACTCCAGATGTCCCACTTCCGAGATATGCGCAGGTTGCGATGATTGTCTGGAGGCCTATAGGTTTTAGTACCAAGCACGCCGGCCGGGTCACCATTGGATACCGATCCGATGCTATGAAGACTAGCCAGGCCTAGGTCCGTGATTTGCAATATTCCGTCCGCGTCAGTGCATCCTGGATAAGATGGGAACCACACGATGTTCTCTGCCTTCAGATCACCATGACGTCCGAAATGACGGCCGGGCTGACGTTCGTCCGGCAGCTGAAACCCGTGGATCAAAGACAGCGCGCTTGCGAGGCCCGTCATTTGCTTCAACGACCACAAGACTTTATGATAATCAATCTGTCCGAGTGGGATTATCTTCCAATAATTTCGTAGGTTGACGTCTGCCCATGGAAATACTAGGTGAAACTTGCCCCCCTCCTTATAGGTAAATAGAAGACTGATCAGATGAGGATGGGACCCGGACGTTCTCTTGAGAGTAATATGCATATCGCGCTCAATTTGAAAACGTGAAGGGTCGGAAGAAAAGAGTTTCTTGACAGCAACTACTGCTTGTCGATCCTAGCCATCAAGCCATGGTGTTAAGCGGTCTTTCTCACAGGCATCGCTGAAGTTGAGATGTCCACTTACCCGGCAACCAGGAAAATTCCAGAAGTTATGATGAGCAGGATGTATAAAGGCCTGAAAGACCTCACTGAAGCCGCTTTCGATCTCAATCTGTCCCGAATTCGTGAAAGGTAAGATTTGAGCAACCGGAAAATCGTAATGTTTGCCCTGCTCAAACACCGGAGCCAACATGCGCCATTGCTTTTTCGCCAGGCTCTTGACCTCAGAGTCACTCCATTCAATTAGAGTCCTGATATCGCGGCCTCCGTTTGTCTGCAGTGTCACTCGCTCGCTTCCAGCTCTTGCAGACTTCACGACGAAAGGCAAATCGGTGTCACTTATCCCCTCATCCAGAAACTTCAAGATATCAGCACCTCTTTTCCTACTGACGAGGATTGCGAATAGTTTCATAGACGTCTGAACAATTCTCCTGGCTTCTGCCTCTGCGTGGATATCTTGCACCAACCCCTCCTCACGAAGTATGTCCTCCACTTTGGATTCGGTGATAAGTTCTCTGAGACTGGACAGTGGGACATACATTACGTGCCCTGAACTGTAAGGTTCGATGCTCGCACTGGATAAGGACTCTTGAAGCTGGTGGAGAGGACTAAAAGGGCTAGAGGTCACATCCAGCAAGGAAGATCGCCTCGAGACGGAGCGGTCAGATTGTAGTCCAGATGAGGACTGATGGTCCAGATGAGCGCGATGGCAATGCGGACGGAGTCCATCAACTCTGGCCTGACTGTCAACGACCGATACGTTCGCAGGTGGAAAGGATGGATGATCATCGGAGTTAGGATTCGTTCCAGACCGGGGAGACTGTCTGTCGGGACAAACTTGTCGAAACAAACATATGAACGGTTGAAAAAGACAGCGTAGAAAAGCCATTGTTGAAATGTATAACAACGTGCACAAACTCAATGTATCAGGATTTGGGTGATGATTGTTCGTAGCCTTGCCTGGCGTAGAGTATCAGAGGAAACATGGGCAAAGATCAGTACAACGCCGGCTGAGGGAGAAAAACCCCTCAAAGCACGTCAAAAGGCTGTAATATAAAATGACAAGACTGGAAGAGCAATTTCGTATAAGGCGATGCTGGGACTGCGATCGAAGATTAAGAACAGAAAAGCAAGGAGAAAGGGAGAAGGTGATGACTAGTTGAGGGGGAAAAAAAATTGCTCAGTTGATTCTATTTGGCAGAAGTGAACCAGATCGTTAGAATGCAGAGTAATTTGGATGTGAATGGTTGCATTTAATCATGATCTGCCGTTGCATGGTTGACACCCACGAGCGACGAGAACGGGCACTGGGGCTGTGAGTGTACCTAGGTGAGAAAGCCAAGAGCAGAGACTGCCTCTCGAGCTGACCAGTCATGACACTTACAATGGAGTCAGGTCAGGAACAAGTCAATCATATTGCCGGCTTCGGCTCTCGAGACTAAGGTACCTTGTGCTTCCAAGCTTCTTAGAATGACGTTCCTTCTCCCGGCGTTGTTTACACTGACGCCGTCTAAGTAGGTGGCAAATTGCGGGTGCTTCTGAGTTGACTCGTTTTATCGGACAGCTAGATAGTGTGCTTTGCTTTCTGAACTCGCACTAATTGAGGCGCGGCTTGGACGCATGCATTTGTATTGGCCGCAATCTCGTACCTACTTCAGCACCAGAGGTAGGTGCGGCAGTAAGTAGGTGATTAAAAGGACAGGACTCGAAAAAGGTATGGCCTACATCATGCACTGCGCAGGTGCTGCATTAGCGTAGAGTGTGAGTCGAGTCACTTGCGTTATCCCCGCGCTGAGACCATCAGAGTCTTTCTCTGCTTGTCAACTATTGTTTTATTTTGCTACTGATCCTGCTTACACAGGCAAAGAACTGGTGATACTGATTGTGGTCGAAGAGTCCTACAGAAGCCATCCCGCTATGGTGAGGCTTTTTTCTAAAGGCGTCACTACATTTCGAGTGATGGATAGATGCGAACGGAGGAGAGGCATCTCCCTTGGTAGGCGCCGTTCCCCGAGGTCATCGTGGTCTTGCTAATGTGTCTAATGAGACCGAACTCAGCCGAGCAGGTCTGCCTTCCTCAGGTCGACTTTGCCTGCCGCCATTCTCTAAACTGCCCTCCTCCACTTTCCTTCCAAGCACTGCCTCGATAACCTGGTATCGGTCGCACAGCCACCAGGTGATGACTGTCAAAACTGTCAGAGGAGCAGATACGACGGCTAAAATCCAGACTTGGTGAGAGATCTGCAAATTGCCCTTGTCGTTGAGATGCACAAACTGCGTTGAGAAGAAATTCTGTCTCAGTGTCAGTGCAGATCTTCATTTGCTGTTCTTTCACTTACTGATACTATTGTGGTTGGCAGATACACAAGACCGATGATTGTCAAGACCTTGACCGCTGCGGCATCGCGAGCACTTTGAGCCTACATTAACGCCTTTGTTGTCAGCCGTCTGAGAGGGATAAGCGATTATATTAAGGCCGTCTGTACTGACCGCCAGCTTAACCATCTCCTCACTCTCAATACGCGATGCATACGCAAGCTGTGTCAAAGCGGCTGCTTCTTCATAAGCAAGCAGATCTGAGAGGTGCAAGCACTGCGCAACAGGTCATAAGGGTGACAAATCTTCTGGTTCGAGCTGGTAGATGACTTACCAGTTGCTCTGTGGATTGAACGCGCTCTCTTAGCATCTTGGCGCGGTTCAAAGATGTCTGAGTTTCTGAAGCATACTCTTCAAATTCTTCGATCTTGTGACTACAGGGGCAAGAGCCTGTGCCATTGCAACTGGTTCGGCAGTGCCGTCTGCAGGCCTTGCCGATGCGACTGATAGAGTCGACCATTGTCTGGAGGATAACCAGCATATCGGTGATGTAATCATCTAATTGCTTCAGACGCTGCCGGTCTTCGGCACTGACATATATGCTGCGAGGCTCCCCATTGTTTCCTCTCTGAAGGATATCGAGGACTAAAAATCGGTTTGCCTGGAATCCATCGTGGTCAGTGCCTTCTCTCTTGATATAGGCCTCAAACAATAAATAGTAGAAGTCAGCGGCATACTATTTGTTTGGTCTCAGCCTCTAGCCAGGCCTGATAGTCCATCCAGCCTTTCAAACTGTCCCTGACGATGCATTCATGGACAAGAAAATCCTGGCCAAATGTGTCATCCTGAGACACGTTTTGGGGGAGACGCTGCGCGATAGATTTTTCCGCCGCATGCGAAGGCGCAATGAGGATGAAGACAGACGTGCTCCGTATCGAGTTTTGACGATATCCGTTGGGATATACCATCTTGTGGTAAACTCCTGTTTGACGTATTGACCATGGACACATTCCTTTATCCGTCGGACTATTATTGGGTTCCACGCGTCGGATCACGTAGGCGAGTTCTATCCCATCAGTCAACGTCCCTCCCGCTTAGGAGCAAACAAGAAGACGCAGGGATCCTCACCATCAACTCGGCTGTGCGTATTTTGCTCGTTGTTCGCTCGGAAAGGTGGGAAATCGTACTCATTCTCCTGAACTTTGATCCCAAACGTCAATATGCATCGCCAAAAATGATCGAACACATTATGGACTGCTAAGAGGTGCTCGATAGTCTCGTATGAGATGTCCAGTGTCGTCCAAGATCGTAGGTGGCGAACTGTGTAGATCTGAATGCACCTGGAGGCATCGTTGTCTGTCTGTATTCGGAAGAGTTACCAATTAGCATGAGATGCCTTTAAGAGCTGTTCTTTGACCGATGTACCTCTTCGACCTGGCGTAACTCTGAGATGCCATTGATTTTGACTGGTAATTCCAGTCGGACAGACCAGCGGCCGTTGGCGTCTGTCGACTTGAATATTGACGTGAGTTCCAGTTGCGGTCGATTATTATGGGCCTTGAAGAGCCGGTCTCTTTTGGCCTGAGCCTTGTCCATCGAATACTGATCGACCCGAGACCCATTAGACTGGCGGACCATGATGAGGGCGTCTGATGCGATGATGTCGCGGCCGATCTGGCCCCTGACTGCATACGTGACATGGCATCCTATATACCACTCGACAAGGAGCCGAGTACTGTGAACTGTGGTCTGTTCCTACATGGGACACAATGTCTACTTTACTTAACGTGAGGCTTAATTGAGGCGCAAGAAGGCGCCTGTGTCTCTTTAGCCACGTCTTGAAGAGTCGGATCATGATGACTCTCATCTGACGAGGCGCACACCTTGCTGGCGCCGTATTCTGTCTCTATTAGCCACCAAAGGCGGAGCAATGAGTAGACTAGGGTACGAAGGAGATACCTTAATGTTTGCTTGACTATCAGGCTGAAGGACTGAAGGATGGTGGAAAAGAATACAAGCGATACGCTTTGTCCCACCGGCAAACTCGGCCAAACCGACGAGGGGCTGCTACCTCCCTGTCTGGCCAAGGCATGTTTCGTGCCAGGTAGTGTGCCCAACCGCCACAAAATTCCTTTTTTAGTTATTGACTTAGGTACCCCTCAGGTCTACCGCATGTGCCAGTATATATGATTGGTCATAAATTCAATCATGATCCCTGTTTCATGCAAGTGGTCAGTCAGACCGTCACAATGACCTGGGGCTATGCAGACCTTGAAATCGCCTCTGGGAAGGCTGCTACGAACAAAAGAGGTCTATGGAGAGGAGAGGCATGCGTATGGTGTGGCCAGCCACCAATCAATTCCATTATATCATCGTACAAGCTAACACGAATCTATAGGCAATATGAAGTCGCCCGACGGGCTGATTGCAAAGAAGAAAAATTGAAGCAAGCGTATTAGGGGTATGCCACCAGTACCAGCGGTATGTACCCATGCAGATTCCCGTAGGTCCAAATCCTTTCTCTGGTCGGTTTGTTTAAAACCTCGTATTCAGTGTGTTTGAGTTCTTTGCCTTCATGTTTCGAATGTTCAGTCCAGCGTGGCTTGCAGCTAAAAGTACACCCGGCAGTCATTGATCATATTCTGTATCCGGAGATCAGTCGGTGAGCGGGCTGAAAAAAGAAAAAGCAAACAACACTCACATCTATCGAGATCGATGTTTGCTCTCTTTGATGGTCGGGAATGTAAATCTTGTATTGATCCAGGCGTAACTTTGCGAGTTGATCAGCATTTTCCTGGTATTGCTCATCGAACAAATGGCAGTCACCTCTACTCGAAAATTTGACTGACCGTATTCTTTCCTGAGCATTTTCACCAGTTTCCTGGGATCCATATATTTCCCCTCGACGATTCGAAAGGGCGTGGGGCTGTAAGGACCGTTTCGACTCATCTTAGGATGCGTTTAACGTATATTTCTAAGATTTTCCAACAAGAACAAAAGAGGCCAAGAGAAAGACGATATGCGTTGTCAACCATACATAACAGAAGCCATAGCTACGCTAATGATGGGGATGAGCATTTTAAGTATCTACTCCGTGTCTGAACTCCAACTGCATCACCCCTAGCCAAACTTGCCATGGTGTTCACTCGTGCAATCCGCCTACTTCCTTCCGAGGCTCATCCAATAAGAGGGTACTTGTGTCAGCCCGATCCATCAGAATCAGGCTGAGTGGTACATGACAAGATTTCATCCTAGTGCAGGAAACCATTATTAGCGCCTTGTGACCAAAACCCAGACGCACCCAATAAAGCCCGTCATTGAGATCCAGTCATCAAGGACTCATCCCTTCCAATATTGCATGTGAGCAGCCAACCAACCTGTGTAAGAGTCTGCGGCGCTGTGATGTACCATATCCCCATCTTTATCTGCGAGTCGCATTAGCCTGTGACGGCAAGGGGTGGCTTGCACAGCCCCGGACAGCGCGGGATGACGGGAAGTCAAAAGGCATGCAGACAGGGGGTGGCAGCCCTAGTGTGGGAAGCAAACACGAGTTCGATATCACCCATCCTTGGCTACCCCGTAGGGCAGTAGGGCGGAAACTTGGACACGGGCAAGTACTTCGCACTTACTTGGACTGTGTAGGTCTTCCTGGGAAATCGCGCCCTCAGCAGCGCCAGCAGCTTCTGTTCGTCGATGTAGCGGTTGGTGAATGACTGTTCGACCATTTCTTTGTTGGCCCCTGTGGCTTGGTTCGGGTCTGGTCAGGTCATCGGGTGATGCTGATGCTGATGCTGATGTTCTTGATTATGGGTAGGGGCTAGGGTCCTATTCAGGTATCCTGCTGGATTCAGCCTTGATTTATGTGGTGTTCTTGCGTGAGCTTGAGCCGCATCTTCTCTCGTTGCTTGAGGTGTAAGTGCCCATGTCCCATGATATGCGGTGTCCTTTGTTTGCTTGTTCGTGTGGTGGATGCGTTGGATGGGTGTTCGACGCGGATTTGCCGGTGACTTTGGGGACGGGATACTGTCGAGGTAGAAGTAGATAGGATTGGAGATCGTTGTTGACGTGGTGCATAGGTGTTGGAATAGAGGCGGATGAACGGGTGCAAGGCTGCATCAGGCTCTAAAGCAATACCTTACTTATGCAATGAGGGCAGATGACCAGAGAAAATACTGAAGGAAGGATAAGAAATCGTTACTGGGGTGTTCACCTTGTCGAGCTGTTATTGATTGCTTTGGCTACTCGTGGTTGTATTGTGTAGACTACTGGATGTTTCATGTAGGATGTTTATTGGCCTGATACGTTTCTGATTGGCAACAAGGACTGATTGGTCGTATCTCGTCCTCCATGCATGCAATCTACCTCAGGTCTGCGTGCCGTCATTTGTGTTTAGTGGTTCAAAGCAGAGGGAGGGAGGTCCTCTATCAAGGCAATGGCCTGATCTTCGAAGTGGACAGGAGGTATGGAGGTATATCTTGTTGGCTTTAATCAGGTCGCTTTAATGGAGACATTAAGAAAAATGGAGAATTAGATTACTCGAAGGAAATAAACATATCTACCAGCTGAGAAACAATTTCTCTCCTAGGCGTACCAGCATCAGATCAGGATACAACACGCCATGGCTAGGAACTGCATACCCACTACCCTGCCCGTTATATATCTTTCTCTCGGACGAGCGAATTTCTTTCTCAAAATATGTTCTTGTTGGTAACAAGTCTTCAGAATACACCAAAGAAACTCAGAACGTGATATTAATACAATTGAATGGCGAAATACACTCTCATTTCCTGACCTTCTATCCGGAATCAGGTTGTCCAAAGATGGATTCAGCGAAGTGATTCAATACGAATTCATGAACCTCAAGGCCGTGTATCTAAAGCTTGGAGCAGCCGAGAGCAAGGGTACCACCCTGTTGATATAAGTCAGGGTCACTGGTTCTCAAGAGGTAACGGAATGGGGTAGAGAATGTACCAAGAGGTTGGCCTCAGTGCAGCATTGAGGAGCAGAGGAACATTCTTCGGTCCATGGGTGACCTTTACAGGGAATCCGTTAGCATAGGTTGATTGCCAGAGCCTATTCGGGTCACTCACAGAGCAGTCCAACGGAACCAACAACCTGGGCAGCATTGATGCCAAGACCGAGCAAAATAGGGTCCAAAATGGGATCCAGGGGAGTGGTCAGGGAACCGCAGCACAGAATGGATTCAACGCATTGGGACGAATCTGTGGAGGACTGCTCCTCGACTCCATGGACATGCCCTGCAATCTCCTCCACCTGCGCCTTCAGAGCGGAGGTAGTCGGATCGTCAGCGGGGATGGCCGCGATGAGGGCTGCAAGTGTGAGAGAGGTGAGAATAGAGAGCTTCATATTGAATGGTTGATGGGTTTGGTGAGATATGCGGAGACAGAGGATGTTTGAGTGTCTCAGCGAGAGAATGGCTTGATTTGAGAAAGGACCTCGAGGTGATTTTGAGCTCTTTATATCCTCGCTGGTGGATACAGTTACCCAGGGAGCCCATCGAGGAATCCCTGAGATGGACCATTAACACAATCATGTTGTCATTTCCTTATCTCGAACATCCGGAGAGATGAGGTTGGCCCTCGAGGCTCAGCGAGTAGAACGATATTCAACCGGAAAGACGGTGCTGATAGCCAGCGTCACATTCGGATGGCTCTGTTGAAGAAGATCGTCCCATTGAAGAATTCAAGATAAGCAGAACCGAGTTTGAGAACAGATAGAGGACAATAATGCTATAACCGAGAACCAAGGACGTACCATGGCTCGGCGCTGGGAAGATCGGCGCCAGGAACCATATTTAAGCAATGAAACGTTTGGTCAGGTCCGTAGCACCTTCGGAGGCGGACGACACTGGAGGCCAGGAATAGGTAAATCCAATACTTTAGCAAGAAATCAGTATTTGAGGGAATAGATTGACCCAGCAACTCATGTGAGAATTCCTCATCTCAGTGGATCAGGAACCCTAAGGGAACTCCGGACTGGAGCCGAATCGCATCAGTGATGCGCTTATGATCGGCAGCAAGGTACCGGCGATCTATGGAGTCTATGAAGTCTCGATGATAAAGACCTGCATGTGAACATAATATGCTCCATACTGAGGCTTTAGTTGGGAACTAAGCGAAGCATTGACACAATAATTGAGCTGTTTTTTGTTTTGAGGATCTTGCATGGTGGAGCTCACTAGTAGTCTCACATGCCAATTCTTGGACCGTTGGACGAATGGGATGTGCATCATGTGCGGCTATGGCGTGTCTTAAGCAATGATTAGAATCAAAAAACAAGCATAAAAGGTCAGAGAAACCAGGGGTGAAATGTGAGTGAGGCGAGAGAGAGCATGGTGCTGAGGATGCCAAAATGCGAGCTAATGCTATGAATGTACTTGGCGAGGGAGTTACAGTGTAAGACGCCAGAAGCTATTATAGGTAGAAGATGCTTGCCAATTCCCCGACCTTGCACACCCTGCCCAAGGACACTTAGGCGTGCCCGCGGTCTATACATGGACAAAAAGTTGTGTCCAAGGGGTGACTACCGTGACGCTGTAAATGTCATAACACCCTCCATAGACTGCTCTCCATACTGTCTATCACGAACTTGGAAGAGAATGGTTTCAGAAGAGATGAATCAGACAAGAGCAATCAGCCTTATGGGAATACTGTTTACTACCCAATAAAAGTTCAGTGCAAATAGAGCTGTAAGAGCAACAGTGTCAATGATAATGGCTAGACGAGTAGATTCCCGATTGGGTATAGTGGTGGTGGCGCTCAAAGCGAGTGTGGCTGATGGCGCCAAGGCCACCAGCCACAGGGACACACAACCCGCAACACAAAAATTCGGGGATCGCAAGAATCGTCCCGCCGCCAGCCCACACACCGTTCGCCGTTTCTCCTTGATACCACCGGCATTTTCTGTCACTAGGTATCTGTTTAGTATCGATCAGACATCATGGCGCCTATGTCCATTGCAGACCTTGTGGCTGCCCTCCCCGCTGAGGACACTTGGGGCCCCGCCACTCCCTCCGACAACATGCTCGATGGCGTCCCATACGCTCCCTTCTCCAAGGGTGACAAGCTTGGCCGTATGGCTGACTGGACCGGGGATGGCAAGGACCGTGACAGAGGTGGTCGTCAGGCGTACAACCGGAATTACAGAGGTGAGTCCAATTGTCCAGCACGCTTTTGGGATGGTGTACTGACCCCGACCAGATCAACAGGTTTACGGCGCAGGCACCTCCAGCTTGTTCAACATCCAGGTCGCCGAGGACGAGTCTTCCTTCTCCGTTGTCGACAACACCCGCACATCAACCAAGCGTACCTTCGCCCGTGGTGGTGGCACCGTCTTCCGTGGCCGCGGTCAGCGTGGTGTCGGCCAGAGAGGTGGTCGCGCTGGCTTCCAGAGAGTCGGTGCTGGCCGTGGCCAGGGCGGCGATCGCTACTATGACAACCGCGGTGCACGCGGCAACCGTGGCCGTCGTTTTGGCTGGAAGGACTACGACAAGCCGCAGAGAACCCGTGAGCCCTCGGTCAACGTCCGTCCTGACTGGACCATGCTGGAGGAGGTTGACTTCAACCGGCTGTCCAAGTTGAACCTTGAGGCTCCCGAGGGTGAGGATCTGGAATCCTATGGTTTCCTCTACTACTACGACCGGTCTTACGACAAGGCTCCCGTCAAGAACGCCGAGCGCAAGCTGCAGGCCATGGAACGTGCCGCTTACAACGTCACCACTTCTCAGGATCCTGTTATCCAGGAGCTCGCCGAGAAGAACGAGGCGACCGTCTTCGCCACCTCGGACATTCTGTCCATGCTCATGTGTGCTCCTCGCAGTGCCTACTCGTGGGATATCGTTATCGTCCACCAGGGCGACAAGATCTACTTCGACAAGCGCGAGGGCGCTTCCATCGACTTGGTCACCGTCAATGAGAATGCTGTGGATGCCCCTATTGAGTCTACTGACTCTTCCGGCAAGCAGGAGGCGATCAACACCCCCAGTGCTCTTGCTCTGGAAGCCACATTCATCAACCACAACTTTGCTCTGCAGACCGTGGTGGAATCCGAGGAATCCAAAGTTACCTTCAACCACCCGAACCCCTTCTACAACGCCGCCGAGGAGACAGAACCCCTTGCCTCCAAGGGATACAAGTACAGACGGTTCGACCTGTCCCTGCAGGGTGACGAGGAGCCTCTCAACATGATCGTCCGTACCGAGGTCGATGCCGTCATGAAGAACCCCCTCGGCGGCGAGGACCAGCAGCTGATTGTCAAGGCTCTCAACGAGTTCGACCACAAGGCTCCCGGCTCCGGTGGCGCTCTGGACTGGCGCAGCAAGCTCTGGTCTCAGCGCGGTGCCGTCGTAGCCACCGAGATGAAGAACAACAGCATCAAGCTCGCCCGCTGGACCACCCAGGCCATCCTCGCCAAGGCCGATGCCATGAAGCTTGGGTTCGTCTCGCGTGCTAACCCCCGGTCCGCCACCTCCCACGTCATCCTTGGTGTTGTCGGCTACAAGCCCCGTGAGTTCGCTGCCCAGATGAACCTGAACCTCGGCAACGGATGGGGTATCGTTCGTACCATTGTCGACCGTATCCGCACCCTCGATGCCGAAGAGGAGGACAAGGTCAAGAAGTACGTCCTTATCAAGGACCCCAACCGCCCTGTCATCCGTCTGTACAGCGTGCCCCCCAACACTTTCGAGGAGGACGACGAGGCCGCCGAGGAGCAGGAGGAGAAGGCCGAGGAGGAGTCCGAGGAGTAGATCTGTTGATGTGTTTGCCATGATCGTACGGAGTATAATGATGTCTTTTCGATTATAGTGTGCATATTCAAAAGTTGCTTAGATTGATGGCATAGTCAGGCATTTTCCTTCTTGTAGGATGTTGCCTTCTACCTGGGTTCTCCTAATCCTTCCCTGCTGCAGTAGATTTTCGGAACTTTATTCTATACCAATTCTATCTTTCTTCAATAGAGATAGCAAGCCATCTCACTTGGCCCCCATTCACGGCTTATTCTTATTCCCCCTTGAGGATCAATTGTCCGAGACCCCTCCGCTCGGAGTTTCCTCGCAAAAAAAAGTCATCCCTCCATTCTCGAGTCTCGCCTCGTTCTCCACAATAGGCTGTTCCTCCGAAGTGAAACAAGCCAAACCTTGATTCCCAGTCCGGCGGGCCGCACTCCGCATTCCGCACGGACAAGCCGTTCGTTCCCAGCATGTCGAGCTCTATCATGGTTCCGGTCCCAGTTGATCAATCCAGATTGTCGAGTGACCACGGCATTCCAGGCTCAAGGATACACCAAAACCAGCGCTTTTACTTCGTAGCCTCATCTCCTATCTACAATTGTTGGGATATAGGTATGATCGGCCTTAGATGTCTCGGTCATGGGTCAGATCCGCCAGCCAGGATAACATGGTCGAGTATCGGGTTTGGGGAGGAGAAGACGAAGGTTTAGTACTACTACTGCTGCGGGGGGAGAGTGGTATGTGATGGGACTTTGTTGACCATGGCAGGGGATTTTCCTATGGGTGATAAGGAGATGCGGCGAATTGGCTTGTATTGAGATTAGAGTATGAATGACAGAGGACAGTAGGTGTGTGGGTATGCAGGGGCGGTAGCGTGCAGGACTGCGGGTTCTTGCCTGTGTGCTGGATTGGTTCAGAAGGCTGTCAGGGCGGGAGAGTGTTGAGTCTGACAGGCTGTACAATGAATATCTAGATCGTAAGGTAAAAACCAACTTGATATACGTGACCAACTTCAGCAGTTCAATCAATGAAAGCTAGTGAGCAGCTGTTTTACATGCCATACTTTGGCCTGCAGAAATTAGACATGAGGATCAAGGTAATCCTCGGGCTGAATCCGAAAGAAAAAAAAGGGAAGATCAGTAGAGACGAAAGTCAAGGAGAGATCGAAGAGCAAAGAGTGGCATGTCAAGCATCCCAGACGCCAGAAGATAAAAGAAACAAGAACCAGTCATCTGTTCCATGAAAGGAAAAACAAAAGAGAAGAAACGAAAGGAGGTAAAAAAGAAGAATCGCCAAACCTTCCATTCTACTTACACCCACTTATTCTGAGAAGAAAAGAACTCCACACTCCGCAGTCCGCTTGAGAAAAAGAGGTATCAAATATCGCATCACGAGTACATCGTATCGTCTCCGGCGCAGGAGAATCTGGTATCCACCTTAGTCCCCAGGACACTGCTTAGACAGTCCATGAGCTCAAAGTCTTCGACAACGGCCCCAAAGCCGTAACATCGTACTTTGGTGTTGAGCGTCTCAATGATGATCTTGACATCATCCTTGGTCAGGGTGCGATACAGTTCGTGGTTTTTCAGGCACTGCAGCGCCATGATTGGGGTGATCTGGCCCTCTGTCACGAGCTGTCGGCTGAGATTGAGTAGAGTCGTCAGGTTGGCATGCGGAAGATCGTAGGTTTTGTGTGGATAGGCTTGCTCTGGCGTTGTGTTGGCGATGTAACTCGGCGGGGGGCAGGTGGCCATCAGAGCGTGGCCTGAGAATGGCATGTCCTCGTCGTCTGCCTCGGTGACAGATCTTCGGCACAGGTAGTCGGTGTGTTCGCGGCAAGGGGATTCCAATCTGCACTTGTTAGCATTGATCGATAAAGCCGGGTACGCGCGGGGGCAGCATACGTGAGTATAAAATCGATTTGAAGCTGGGGATCCACCTCGAATATACCCCCAACGGCCTGGACAGGTTCTTGATTTCGAGCAATGGCTGATAGATCGAGATTGGCGGGTATCTCACACGAGCTAGCCGTCATGGCAATAGGGGGTGGAGGAGTGATTTCGTGCGTGGGAGAAATTTCCACCCGTCCCACCCCATTCGCCAGAGGACTCAAGTCTGACGAGACGGTCGATACTGTGGTTGGTGGTGTGGTATAGGTGTTGCCGCTGGAGGCTGCTGGTGCTCCCGTCCCCACACTACTGCCAGCCAACGGGCTCGACTGGAAACCTCGGCCTGCTGAGCGTCGTTCCGCCCTGCGACGCTCCAACTCCGTCTCAAATTGAACCCCATGGGCGGTAAGAAGTTCCTTCAAAATCGCATTCTCGTCGTTCACCGCCTGCAGCATTTCTCGATGCTGCACAACAGCGAGGTTCGCTGCGGACATCTCCTGAGTGAAAGCCTCCCGGAGTCGCGAAACTTCAGTTTCCAGGGACCGGATGTATTGCTCTTTACGCTCGCGGTGGGTCCTTTGTGCCTGCCGATTCAGTTCCTGTCGTCGTGTCAAGGCAGGCCTGCTGTCGGGCTTGGGACCTCGTCGTTTGGCGGGTTGGCCATCTAATAGGTACCATCTTGATTAACGGTGGCCAGGAGGCACCCAGAAAAAACATGTGGAATACAAACCTCGGGTAACCTTTTTCTGCCCTCCAAAGAACTGAAAGAAGTTTGTGCTCATTGAGGTTGGGGTTTTCACGCTGGTTTGTGAGGGGGCTCCTGCAACAGCATCTGATTAGTACATGTATGTATACTAAATCTCAGCACGAAGAAGCAGGCAGCAACAGATCTAAGAGACCCCGACGACATCACTCTGAAGCATTCCAGAACTGACAACCCGAATGGTGGATGGAATGTCATCTGATCAATGATAATCGACCCTGCATGGCCAAAGAATGTCCATCTCCGAGTTTGACATGACGATCACCCGGCCACATTCCATGAATTTGGAATTAAGCATTGCGGGAGGTTCATATAGCACATGGTGAAAACAATGGGGCTTGTGATGGCTCGAGTACACAGGCGGCCAGGTAGGTATAGTGATTGAGATCCCAGAACAGGAACGCGGAGGGCTATGACCTACCCCGTGTGTGTCCGTAGTCCACGGGGACAACCCCTCCACTCATCGAAGTCATTGTGGTGATATTTGTCTGCGAACACAGGCTCAGAGATGTCGGATGCGACCGGCGCGTTTCAAAGTAGATGGAGGGTCGCAACTTCGATTGGACGTAGTCGAAAATTAACGGCGGCTGTAAGAATAATACCCTTGGGCGTGAATATTGACATTCAAAGCATCTGGATTGTCTGTCAGTTTTCTCCTAACGATTATAAGAGAAAAAAAATATATATGGCAGCCGGCGTTCTCACCATTGAGACTCCAACCCCACGATTCGACGCACGAAGCGAACAGTTGAGTCTTCCTCGATGCGCACAAGATCAAATTGAGTTAAAGAGCAGGCCACGAGTGTCAAAAAGGAAGTTCGTGAGGAATCCAGTCAATCCTCAAGATGGCGAAGTGATGGAGGACAATCAAGAACAAATGAAATGATAAAGGAACGGAGAGTGCAGCAACGGAGAGTGTAGCAACGCAGAGATGGAAGAGTGATGAGTTCAAGGAATGGATTTTTTTTAAGGTTTCGAACGGTTTCTGGAGTCTGAGAGGCAGAGAGGGCCACCAAGACTACTAGGAGGAGTGGAAGACGAACGGGAGTGGGACGGGAACTAGGAGTGGGAGATGTGTACGGAGTCGACTAAGATGACTGGTAGAGTGGAGGGCGCCCAGTAGGGTCAACTATTTATTAGTCTGAATGTATGATCGTGATGTAGTAGAGTCAATTTACGGATAGATCGGTGGCTAACAACTCCGTAATGCGCCTTGCGAACCATCATTCTTATTATTATCTATCTGGAGTACTATTACGACCTTCCTACTGTGTAGATGAACCAAACTAGGGAACGGGGATCCCACCTGGACCAGCCGATGGCCCATGGCCAGAAATGGGGCCAACCCGCATACACCTGATCTTGTGTGTGTGCAATAATAATGAAAATAATACATTGTTCCTCAACGTCTACTTTACTGGATCTACTTTGACTTTTGACTTTGGAGTCTTGGATATTTGAATTCCCGACGCTAGTCATCTAGGGTAACTAGGATGGGTGGCCCGGCACACTGGAGAATGCCGGGGAGATCCGTTGCTCAAAATCTCAAGGAATTCAAACAGCAATAATGTAATAATGTTTAGACTTAAGGTAGTCTGTGCTCATTATTGCCACCTGCCTCGGAGACCGTAGTCTGTCTATCTATATTCTATACCTTAAGGTAGTCTCCGCAACTCCTTCGAGCTTCATCCATGGTCGGCGCGAAGCTCAAGATCTGGCCGCGGGTCGACGAAAAGTGGAGATCTGGTTGTTCTTTTAGCACCGCGCCACACGGTTTCTCCTGCTAATCTCTGCCCCTCAGATACCGATCGAGTAATAATACAGAGTACACTAACGACTCTGTGAGAACTGAGCAGGCTATTCGACGGCGATGATCCCCCAAATCAATAGGTAATCAATATGGAAAGTGACAAAAGCAAACATGGAGGGTTGGAGAGAAATGCATCCACCCGTGCGGAGGAGCAGAAGACCCAAGAACTTCGCATCACCTCATGTGCGATCGGCTAGACTGGTTACTAACTCTGTAGATAATAGCCTTTTCCAATTCAATTTCAATGCCAGTGAAGGCTCCCTATTATTTGCCTATGTGATATGATCGTTTACATTACTGACCAATGATAAGATAGGACCCTTCTGGAGAAGCAATGCTCGTGTCCCTGATTCTTGTTGATTTGAGAAGACCGGCAAGAGCTGCGTAGGTTGCATTCTGCCCCTGTCAGTGTTCGCTTCAGAGTTCCGACTGGGTAGTGTAACTGTGGATGCAAGACCCATCGACTTGGATTCGACCTCATTCTCCAACATTTCGTGTGTAGGAGTTAGATCAGTCATGCTGCGTCACCCACCATGTGTGTCAACAATGTATCTGATTGACGAGATCTATCGTTTTTCTTGGCCATTCAGAGCGCTTGATTCTCTCTAGACCAGCATTAGCCTAGATAGATTGAGAGATCTCAGCGCTCGGTCCGTCTGTCGCCACACTAGACAGAAAATAGAGTAGCAATCTCGTAGACTAATTTCTGTAGACTTGTCAGTCTTGTGTGTTCTCTTCCAAACAAAGCGTCCAACATCATCCGGACACCATTTGTAGGGTTCTCCTCTCAGTCTCAGCTTCTGTCTTTTTTTTTTTTTTTTTCATATTGTGTAAGGGGGAGGAATGCAAGCAATTGAGCACTTCAGCTATCTGACAGGAACGCAAGTTGGAACGTTGCTCTTTACCAAGCTAAGCAATGGTGACATGCAGCGGGACCTGAAGTGGACGGAAAGGAAATGGCAGAACAGAGTTATTATTGCATTCAGTATTTCGCATCCTTTCCTGCAAAGACGCGAATTCAATACTATATGAGCGTTGGAAGGGCGACAAAAGTGATGTAGCTTAACCTGATTGTCAACTTCTTCAATTCATTCTTTTCTTTTCTTTTATTTTTTTCCGCCTCTTTATTATTTTGTTACCCACCTCTCTCCCTCGTTGGTGCAACCTTGCGTGACGGTCTCTGTTCGGCGCCGGGGACCAAGACAATCGCCGGTATTAATAAATACTCTCTGGAACACTTTTTCTGGGCATGGGCGAACACGTTCGAAGACCGATCTTCAACAGTAATTGTCAGAATTCCGAATTCAGAAATACGGGAATCTGGTTCTTGGTTGTTGGTAGTACAGTTATCTACTTTGGTAGTGCATGACCGTCAACAGCATTGCATAGAGCATTACGAGGCTAATGATGAACAGCCAAATCATCACCGAGTATGACCATAGCTGTGAAACTTACCTAAACCAGATCGATACTCAAGGTTCCCCGATTGGAACACAGACCTGGATTCCTGGAACCGAGAAGCGTAATCCTCTGAGTCGAGGCTGGGAGATCGGCGATGCTCAGACCCCCCAGGAAGAGACTATTGACTGTCGATGGTCGATCGCTAGCCTCAGGCCGCCAGGCGCCCGGGTGAGTCCCAAGTGGGAAACCACGCCTCCTCAGCTGACTGGGATTGGTGCCTTACAGCCTTAGAAGGCCAAGTCTCGAACTCCCAACTTTTTTGCTTCTTCCAATGGCACCAATCGAACACTTCCTTGAGTTGATCATGACGATGCACTAGATACGATCTGAGCATCATCTGCTCATCATTATTCGCATGTTGGATGAAGATCAGCACATGTTCCTTTTTCTCTATTTTGGCTGATTTAAAGCTGATCACCATGCCCAATCAGAAATCCCGATGCTCTTGCCATGAAGGATTCCGAGATCCTCGTCCACATCTCCGCTCCCAGCGGAGTTCGGGATGATGTCCGATATCGAGCTCAGGTCGAGGCTATTCTTGGATTTCAGAGTCTGTCACGGCAGCTCATCACCTTGACGTCCGATGAGGATCGAGGGAGCGATGGTGCACCGGCTACGGGGCAGTCAATGTCTACGGATCAACCCGTTGATGCAGACCCCAGGGGAGAATCGAAATGCATTCAACCGTTCTTTCCTAACTCACAGAGCACGATTCCTGATGAAGATGTGGAAGTGGAACGCTCCAATGCAGCCAGATCCACCCCAGAACATGAGGGACTATTCAACGCTACTACTGGTTCAACAGCACTAACGATCAAAGACTCGACGATTCTTCCAGATACTGAGGTTGATAGTGGCCATCAAATCAGCCCCGTCTCGCTACTCCCTCAGCCGCAAAATGAGCGCGCTGTAAAAGATTCGCTCGAGAGTCCAGTCAGTGTCATACCCGACTCGCAGCCAGAAGTGATACGTAGCCAAGCTGATGGCCTGCTTCGCCCGGTCACCGATGTAGCCCTTGGCTCTCCCCCGACCAAACGACATCGTTCAGGGTTATCGCCGATGCTACAGGAAGTTGCACCGGTCTCTGAGGCTCGCATACTTGCTCCCAAGCTGAACGAAGAGCGCCACGGGAATCACAAACTGGCCGATCCTCATCCAGTTCTGCAGATCTCTCCGCAACCAAATCCCGAGACACCACCGCAAGTATGCCTTGATCATCTTCCTCTAACCATCAAGCCCTCGCTTCCTCCGGTGTCCAAGGAGCAGTTTGTAACCCATGTCACCCCAACTCTGGCCATGTTGACAAGGCGTTTGAAGCCAGCACGAACGTATAAGCCTGTGAAACAAACCAGGGACCTGGAGCTGTTGGAAAGGGGCCATTGGTACCTTCGCATCAATGTTCTGCAGCTTGAAAGAGACAGATCCTTTGACACTCCTGGTCTACAGGAAAATGACGCTCGGAACTGGGATTTAGCCTGCTTCTCCCGCTTCTGGTCTTTTCTGTCGGATTTCATCTCCAAGGACGGTCGGGCTGGTTGGGGGGTCTGGTGCATATTGGAAGATGCGCCCGAAACTCTCTGGTCAAGCTCAACCGACTACCAGATCATGCCACAGAAAACGACAGCGACGATCATGTCAGACGGAAAGACTAATCCCCACAGCTTTGTTCGGCCCGTGATACTGAAACTCTACGCATGGGGTGAGGTTGCGCTTCACATGTATCTCCTCCTCTTCTTAGCCAGCGAACGAAGAATTCGCAAAATGGGCGCGCAGTGGCGAGACGGTCGCGATGAGGTAGTCATTAAGATGCCCTAATCATCGCAATTCGATATCTAAAAGCCCATAGATATCCAATGACGTCATGATTCTGGCTTGGCTTGCTGGTGAATGGCCTCCTCAATAGACGATTACTGCAACTTAGTCTCTTCATATCAGTAGTCATCGATATGCTGACTGATCATCCCCCTCTACAAGACTACCAAGTCTTCCGCAGGGTGGATAACTAGACGAGGTGAAAGTTATGATCGGATAGATAGGGCGGTGGAGCCGATGTGATACGGATGTCTTGGCTTGCTTCTCCGCGTCCAAGACGCGTCTAGTGAATGCTGATGGATGAACCATCAACAAACTATGAATATATCAGACGTTGAGTCCTGAAGCCGTCGCTCACGTTGCTGTTTCGACCTCATTGCCATCAGCCATAAATAATTGTCATCATGCCTCCGAAACGCTCTGCTTCGAACACGTCCTCTAGCAGCTCTAAGAAAGCCAAAGTGGAGAGCGACGCAAAATCGGGCGACCTCCGCACAATGAAGAGCACGCGCTGGTCGCGCGTCTCGGGATCTGGCAATGCCGACGCTGCATACAAGTCCTCCATCGAGGATCCCGTGAAGGCATATTCCTATGTTTGCATCTGTCGGCTGCCGTCCGACGATGGAGACGACGGGGAAGATGAACGCGATCGGGAAAATGAAGACGACCGCGAAATCGGAGACGACCGCGAGGATGAAGACGATTGGGAAGACGAAACATCAAAATCTTCCTGCGACGCGGGAAAGACATGTCTGTGCAACAAGCCCGCAGCAGAGCATCCTAATCATCCCTTAATTTTGAGCAACGCGGGCAAGAGCAAGTGGTTCACTCAGCATACTTTCCTGGACCTTCGCTGTCCAGACGCCTTCAGAATGTATACCTTCAACGACCATGAGGGTTATGGCGCGCTCGAGGTCGTGCAAAACCTATTCATCGACTATGTCGAGGCCTCTTTTTATTGGCAAGAGCAGTGGGCAGTTTGCGAGGCTACAGCGATGCTATACATGAGCGACGCTTTAGCTCCGTTGAATTTGTACGGCCTCTTACATCACCCGGTTTAAAAGTAAATGCTGACCCTTTTTTTTCAACTACAGCGTCGACGATGCCGACGCCGTCTACGCCACCCTTGTGTTGGCTGGACGCATGTTCCTTGCGATGCTCGCGAAGCTTGAGCACCTTAACCTCCTGACGCCAGATTCTGAGGTCAAAAACCTCGGCTTCATAATGGCCTCTTACATTAAGCTTGCTGCCACTGAAGACATCCTTGACCTCCACGACATCACCGACGAGGTTAAGAAAAATAATGGAACGGACGAGACCATCACCTTCGTTCGGTCTGATTTCCCCTCCCACATCCTCGCCTATGCCAAGAAATACAACATCAAGCTTGTCGGGCCCACAGGTATTGACAAGATTATCGAGGACCTGGATGACGAAGCTGAAGTGCCTGAGCGTGACGAGGAGCCTTTCGGTGACCCTTGGAACTTCGCCGACGCTAGCGAAGAGTACGCTGACAATCACGCCTGTTGCCATAACGGCCGGAAAGGGTTCAAGAGTCAGCTTGGCGGCGACACCCTGGACATCACCACCTGGAGTTCAGCAGACCGCAAGAAGGCAAGCTTTGACGGTAAAGACCCCCTCGGTAAGGAAGAACGTGACGCCATCAAGAATGGGTTGATCATGTATCTGGCTTAGCCCGGCGGAATAAGTCTGTGTGAAGTTCCTCTCACAGTTGTACATTGGCATATGTTATACGAAGGGGACCGGATTTTGTTAAGCGGGGGTTTTCAAGTATGTTTATAAATAATCACACTTATTCTTTATGCAGGGAGGATCAAAATATGAATGCTTATGGCCTGCATCATCAGGGTCATCTATCCGGAAAGGATCACTTTGTGGACCGAGCAGCTTATCTACGATCAACCTAGATCGCCGATCTCTCATCAGATGATCTATATGTATCTGGGAACATACTTATCAGGGACAATCCATTAACTCCTAGATCTCAGTAGCAAGTATGGTACACTTAAGAGGATGCCGGAGGTCCATGAATGTAATCCCAGAGATCCTTGAAACAGAAGAAAATAAAAAAGGAAAGAGAGTACAAGTGATAGAAGATGAGATACCAGTCTGATGAAAGGAGAACCACGCCAGTGATAATGTAGACAGGGAAAAAGAAAGGAAAAAGTGTATGGCTGAATTATGCGGAGTCACAACATTTATCAAAGTATGTAAAGAGATTTTTCAGTCGCAGATCTTGATCCGGACACAAAGAGAACGAAACTGCCGCGAAGGAGCTGGTGCACATCCCTGAAAGGAAAAGCTTTGTGAAGCTGGCGACTGAAGAACTGAAGGTGGCAAGAAGGGGATCCAGGCGAAAATCCGGCTAGACGAAGAAATGAGACTTGTAAGGCGCAACTTAGTAATTCAATTCACCACTGCCTGCTCCACCGACAGCGTCGAGGTCCTCATAGCTCTTAATGCTGCGGCCCTGAGTGGCTTCGCGAGGTCCCATGCCCTGCTGTCCAGGTCCCGATCCCATCGCGTCAGGAAATGGACCTGCTCCCATCAATGCAGCGGCGGCAGGGTGGCCAGGAGGAATATACGGCACTGCACCGCTCGCTCCCATACGACCTCCGGCACCGTACATGCTCGGCATGCCACGGGCGGGACTCAGATGGCCTCCACCGGAAGCGCCTTGACGGTTGCCGCGCCGGTCATACGGTCCGGACCGGTTGTTGTAACGACCCCCTCCACGACGGATGACACCAGGATGATGGAGACCAGCAGCATGCTCGCCGGTTACCAAGCCGTTCGCGTTCCAGGCCTGGTTGTTTACATTCATGAAGCCCGGAAGACCAGCAGCGCCAGGTAGAGCATGGGTTCCACCAGGTATGTTGACGTTGTTCGCAAGATAAGGCGGCAAACTGGCCAAGCTGAAACCACGAGGGGTGCCCGTGTGGCTTTGACTGGAGCTGAGAGGGAAATGACCATTGCTGTTGGCATCAGAACGCGAGGGGGCGATTCGAGCAGGATCGAGAACATAAGAATTGACCAGAGAGAGCTATTGTGTTTGTTAGCTGTAAACCCCATCCAGTATGGGACATTGTTGCAACTTACATCACTCTTGATGTTTTCAAACCATTCAGCGTGGCGTTTCTCCACATGCTTGCGCCAGAAGTGCTCGGCCTTGAAAAGCTTTGTGCACTCCGGCACCTTGCACCGGAACTTCGCTTCGTCTTCCTGCTTGACAAATTTCGATAACTCCTCCTCAAGTGCCTCCTCCACGGGCTTGCCACCAAGTTTTCTAATATCCACATTATCTGGCTCGAGAATCTGCAAGAGCTTATCTTCAAAAGTTCGGACCCAGTTAAACGCGCGTTGAAGCTGTTGCTCCGCCTTAGACAAACGGTGCGTTCTTTTCTCCTCCACAGGGGGCTGTTCCTCTCCCTCTTCGCTAGGCTCCTTTTTCTTCACAGGGAAAGGCTGTCCAAGGGCACTGGCTCTGGCGACGGCTTTCGACTGGCTGGTGAGGCCGGCTCGCGGCCGACGAAGATGACCTCCAGGACATTTGCGAGCAAGTTCGTGCACCGAGTCACTCTCAAAAACGCAGAAAAAGCAAAAGTTGTAGACTCTGCGTAGATATTCGACCATAAGGTCCAATTTCTTCTTCTTGGCCAGAAGTTCTTCATCATCGACTTCGTCATCGTCCCATCCTTCTTGCTCTTCACCCTCTTCCGCCTCACCCTCGTCAATATCAGCGGGATCAAAGTCAGGTTTCCGCTTCTTGACACTGACAGGGCCTGTGACGGGAGGCTGAAGCCAACCTTTTCCGCGCAGCTCCTCAACACGTTCTTCAATCTTGGAATAACCGTCGGCGTTTCCACCCATTTCAGCATCAAGCCTACAGACTAAACGTCGGGCCAGTTCAAGGTCACGTTCAATCCGCTCTGGGGCGGAGAATAGATCCCACAAAGCCTTTTTTCGTGTCTGGGAAGGTGGAACGTGTACACCGACATGGCAGACAAAATCTCCGTGAACTGGATCATAGATTGTCTTGTCGTTGACAGCTTCCAGTGCCTTCTCGGCCGCAGATACAGTTACGGTCCCATTGGCACCCTGATCATGATCCATTTCCTCGCCTTCCTCCTCTCGACCATCTCCTCTCTCAATCACTGCGCTCTCTGGAGCTGGGTGGAGCATAATCCAACCCATTCGGTGGAACTTCTTCGACGGATTCGGATCGCTCAGGCTGAGCCACTTGAAGCCACCGTCCTGCTCCCCAAGATGCTCCTTGCAGAATTCTTCAATCTTCGCACGGCTCACATTGGGTGCCAAAGTCTTAATCAGCAAGGCTGGCTGTGACAAAGCGTCATCGCGCAAGTCGCCACCTCTGACAGGAAGCAAGTCCAAAACACCCAGGGTCTCGCCAACGGCAGTTGTTTCGCCTTCTTCCTTCTCGATAACGCCGCCTGCGCCATCGCTTTCAGTCTTGTAGATTCCTTCCAGAGTGAAATCATCAAAAAGACCGCCTTCAATGTCCCGCTCCCATTGCTGATAAGCACCCACACGGAAATCCATCAGGCGTCGGCGAAGAGGGTCCCTGACTTCGGGAACATAGCGCTCCTTGAACCACTCCTCATTTCGATGATGCTGAACAAACGTCCTCGACATCTTAATTTGGAGATCCACCTTGTAAGTGTCATAAGCGGCCTGGATCTGCGCCCTTTCTCTTTCCCGATCCTCGCGAGCCTCGCGTTCCCCCTTGACACGATCAGATGGGCGCCGTCCGCCGTATTTTGCGCGATCCTTCTCCTCTTTGATGGATTGTTCAGCACGCCACCATTCTGCGAACCAATTGAATCCAACTTGAAAGTCAAGGTTTAACGGGTTCGGAAGAGGGTTCGTCGGGAGTGGTCTTTTGCCAGACTCCTGTCCAGGAACGTAACGGTCGATATTGGCAACGGTTGGCGACGGAGCAGCACGCCGGTCCTCCCGCTCTCGGAAGGGAGTCTCGCGAGTCGAGGCATAGTAATCGTCGCGAGAAGGACGGCGGACTGAGGGTTCGTAGCGATCAATCATAACTGGAGAGCGAGAACGGCCACGTGCGCCGCGACGACGGTCTTGTGCTCCTGGAAAGGGTGGAGAGTGATTAGTTACAAAAGATCGTTCTTAGCAGTTCATTAGGTACCTACCAGGTGACCTGCGCCGGTAAGAATCCGTTTGCGCTCGAGCCGCGTAAGGGTCCCCTTCCCGGTTCCTCCCGGGTGATCCAAAATTCTCGTAGGAGTCCATTATGGCGCGTGTCCCAGCGCGCAAGACCCTCGAAGCTGATATCTGTTAATGACACAGGGTACGTTGATTTATGACGCGAGCGCTGCGTGATAAGAGGAGAGCACGGTGAGAGATGGCAGTTGCTTAAGAAGGCACAGACTGGTCGCGTGCGAGGACGGAAATAAGCTAAGACCCGATATCGTCAACATTAGAACAAGTTCGTTCACTGAATATGAGTGTCTGACAGCTTGTACGCTGTAGAAGATGATAGGGACAGGTCGGGGTGAAGAGAAGATGAGGTAGTCGCCCGTAGCATGGCCAGGATATGGAAGACATATTGACAGAAGAACGACAAGAATTAAGCGAGAGAAAAAAAAAAAAAAAAAGAGCATAGAGAATAGGAGATGAGCGCGCTCCTAAGAGCGAAAGAGAAGGTTGAAGAAAGAAAGAGTAGAGATGCGACTGAGGTACGGAGAATCTCGAGGGCCGTGGACGGCGCGACGATGATCGACGACACCCAGATAAGACAGGTGGAAAAGACAATAGTTGTCAGAAGGCAATTAATCTAGAGTCATTGATGGGGGAGCTTCGTCCCGAGAGGAATTGAGCTGGGAATAGAGGGAAGGCAAAAGACAAAGGGTGACTTGATAGTGACAGGAACACACGATGAAATAAGAGAGAAGATGGGCAAGGCAGGCAACCTACAAGTAGCCTTTGAAAGAAGTATCACACGCCAATCACGTCCAATCTGACGAATCTAGACGGAATAAGACTGCTGTTCCCCTGGGGACAGGGTCTGATGGTTGAAATGCAGAAGGACGAAGCAAAGGAGATAGCAGAGAGAGAGGGCGAGAAAGAGAGAAGAACTGCAAGTTGACTGGCGGATGCGAGATGATGACTAACCCTGACATTACCTTATTATGGTGAAGAGGGTGAGGCTGGCGGCTGACCGCCTTGTCATCCACTAGTCCTTATTGGGAACGGTACTATCATCGAAGCGCGCGCCAAAAATGAGGGATAATAAGTATGACAAAATTGTAGGTATCTTTTAAGGCTGCTATTCACAAACTAAGTAGACAATCGGACCAGCACTCAACCGGTCACGCCATGTGTCAAGCCGGATATGCTGATAAGTATGACTTGATATTTGTACATACAACGTTCGGGGAAATTGCCCGTTGGGAATCACAAGAACAACTCGCAAACCACGGTGGACAGGGTCATATAGAAGAAAATGAAATGAGAAACAAGATTTATGAAAAGTCATATAAATAAAGAGCCATTGAAGAGCATGAAGGCACAAATGAATGTCCACCTCATGCCACTACTCCTTGGCAGGCAATCGTGTTTTCTTTGACCATCAGCGCCAGCTATTCGACATTCGCGGATCAGCTGGCGTATATTGAATCAGACACCTGAGT